TGTGAAGGGGAGTACAAATGTTCATTCACTTCTAACATGGGATGCCATTGTTCATGTGCCAGCACCTCCTTAGTTGTGAAGAGAAATAAAAGCAACCAACAAAACCCCACCCTGAACTGAGTGGGAGTTACAGAAACAAAAGCCATGAAAACGAGCTTTGGAAAGCAATGACTTCCTAGGTGTAGTTGTCAAATTCTGGAGACCACTGTGTCTGGCAACTCTTTGGAGGAAGGAAAGAGTTCCCAAAGTAGTGGATGGGCAGTGAGCAACACATAAGCAAAGTAGTAGAAGCTGTGTCTCCTGGCTTGCCAGTCTATACAGTTCAGAGGAATTCTAGTGATGCTAGTTTCATAAAAAATAAAAAACAAAGCGATCTTTGGAATAATTCAAAAACCTCCTGGATGGTTCATGCATTAGATGGATTGATTGTAAAGGTGGGAGTTCACCTAACTCACTTCTTCCCTTTTGAGCATGCCTCAGCCATGAGGTAAGGTGGGAGCTGGGCTGCTCTCTGGCAGGAAGAAGGGTCTTGTGCCAGCCTAGAGAGCCTGTGCACATCCCCAGGGAACAGTTCTGCCCTGCATGTGCCCCCTGCAATGAGCTGTGCTGCTGCCAGTGCCCCGTGCAGCTGTAGGGCTGCTCAGCTGTGGGGCAGGGACAGGAGCAGGAGGCTGCATGTGCAGCTGAGCCATGGCTGCAAAGTCCAGGGCTCTGGGCTCCCTGCTGTCCCAGGCCAGCCCAGAGGCCAGGCTGTTCCTGTGGGAGCTCTGTGCAAGCGGGACAGGGCTTTTCCTCTGGAGTGCTTCAAGGGTCTTCATGCCTGGAAATGTCAACTTGTGCAGCTATTTAGGAGTTTTCAGGAAGTCTCTCCCACAAAATATGGAGCTCCAGATGCTTTAGATTTGCTTTACCACCTCATTTACATTTTTTTTTTTTTCTTCTTTGCAGGGCTGACTAGGTTCATTTTTTCCAAATCTTTCCGGCGATCTCCTTCTATGCTCCTTGCCTCTGCTCTGTTTCCTCCCATCCGGAAAACCTCTCAGTCTTCCAACAGAAGAGAAATGTGCAGAGTTGAGAAGGAGAGTGGGAAAAATGGCACCAACTACGATGATGACACTAGAGAAAGAGAGGAGATGAGGTCAAAAGGAAAAGGTCGTAAGGTAAGGAGACCAAGCTATGTCCTGTGTGGGAGATTTTCAGTCGATGTGCTGCCGGCAGAGCTTGGAGAGCTGTCCCTGTGAAGTGAGCCCAGGGAAGCAGCTGAGCCAAGGAAGAGCTCAGCTGGACACTGAGCTTCAGGATGTCTTTGCAATGGGTGTGTGGTGCAGACTTCACATTTTCAGTGTGTAACAATAGCAGGAGAGGACTTTGAAGGGTTTCTGGGTTCTCCCTCCGCACTTCCCTTTGCATTCCCAATCCTGGGCCAAGCTGCTCCATCAGTCTGATTTCTGTTCTCCTGCCAGGTTCCAGTGAAGAACATGGCTAAATGTCTTGAGGCATGTCTTGAGGGGGACAAGACTGGATACTTGATGTGAGCACCGTGTTCTACTCTTTGCAGGCTTCCTTGCTGTATCCCACTGAAGGGGATAAGAAGAAGGAATCACTGGGACTGCCTTTGATCCCCCCGATACGCAGGGCAGTAAGTCCCGATGTTGGCAGTGCTGCAGGGTCTCTGCAAAGCTCTCTGCAGCTGGATGTGCAAGAGTCCCAGGAGATGAGGTAAGCCAAGGTGTCTGCTGCTCCAGTGTGCTGTTCACCTCGCTCTTCCCACCTCGTGAGGTTATTTTGCACAGTCAGCTCTCCCATGTATTTAGGCAAACCTCTGTGTATTCAGCATTTGGCCCTATCTGTGGTGATCCAGCCCAATGTCAAACCCACCACCATATGGCCCAAGAGCAGAGGTGGTGGTGGGGAAGAGGAGGCAGGGCTGAAAGGCTCCTCAAGACAGGTCCTCTTCTGGACCTGGCTGTTGATTCCCTCTGTGATGTTTGTGGTGTCATTTGGGAACTGTATTGCATGGGTCTGGATGCTGCAGATCTTTGAACACTGTGATCCTTCACTGTCAACTTCTGCAGCCACAAGAATATGACTGGACAAATATTGGAAATTGTTAAGCTGTCTGCAAATTCAAGTGCTCATTGTTTTATAGTCAGGTGCCATAGTTCATGTGCCAACACTTATAAAACAATAAAATTCTTTTTTTAAAAATATACTGACAAACCCCAACGCAGAACTAAGTGGGGGTTACAGAAACAAGGGCCATGAAAAATAGCTTTGGGAAGCGATTACTTGCTAGATTAATTGTCAGATTCTGGGGAGCACTGTGTGTCCCAACTGTTTTGAAGAAAAGGGATCCCAAAATAAACCTAAGGTGCAATTTCTCTGTGCCTGGACCACCACTATGAAATGAGATTCCAGTGATGTTTTGGGGTATAGATGTATAATCTAATCAACATTTAGTATTTAGATCTGGGTTTAAGATCAAAAAGAGGAAGGTGCTGGAGAAGAGTTATAGGACTGTACCTGATGGCAAAATATTGGCTTGGAGAAGTGTGAGAAAATGTAGCTGTCATGCTTGTCTGAGTGACAACAATAAAGAAGGAGTCACAGAACTATCACTCACATTGAAAATCTTCTGTAGGGCTTTTAAAGTGCAGTCTGAATATCCTTCCATAGCAGCTGTGTGTGAAAAAGCCTTTTTCTTCTTGAAAGATCAAGGAGGTGTAATATCATTCTCAGGAGACAGCAGTGCTCTGACCACATGGAGCACGAGACTGTCACCAGTGTAAGGCACAAACAGGCAAAGTCAAGCTTTGCAGCAGTACAAAAGCAGCTGCCCTCCATAGAGACTCATGGCTCAGCTCAGCAGCTCTTGCTGCTTCAGAGAGGCTGTAGGAGCCACTTGGCTCCAAAAGGAGAGACAGCAGAATTGGGGGGTTATGATGCAAGTTGAAGAATGACTGCTGTGTTTCAGCCGGAGCTTGGCCAGCTCTGTCTGACTCCAGCAACTGAGAGCTTAAGGACAATGAATCATCTTTGCAACTTGTTTAGTTTCTGTGTTGCATTTCCTCCTTCATCACAGTGACCATGCTAAGAAGGTTTGCTTCCTTTCATGCTTCACACATTCCCTCCCTTCTCTTTCTTCCTCCTCATCTGTTCTTTTGTCTTCCATTTTCTCAAGGCCCAGATCCACCAGGAGAAGCGAAGATGACAACTCTGAAGAAGGAGGTAGGTACAGGACATGTCTGTCCTCAAATGACCATTGGAATTTTGACTCAGAGGTGTCATTTTGAAAGCTTGGTTGAAAATAATTAATTTTAAAATTTATTTGACTTCATTTCAATACCTTGATGGGCCCAGTGGGCTCCTGGAGAGTCCAGTCACAGGGAGTGTGCTCTGGTGGTGCAGTGAATAGGCCGCCAGTGTGAAGTGTTGAATGGCAGGAGCTGGAGTGGTACCTTTGGGCCCTGGAAATGCAGTGCAGGAAAAAGAAACAATCTACTCCACCTAGCACTTGCCCTTTATCTCCCTGCAGCATTTCCAGAGTCACAGTTAGTAGAAAATGAGCAGGCATTGAGCATGAAATGGGAAATGTTCCCAGTCCTACGTCCTGCCCTTGAAGGAGAAAACCTTTCCTTGGGGCACTTTCTGGGCTGAACCCTTTGAGATCTGAAGGAGATTCATGGACATTGCCTGGTTCTGCACTGCGAGAAATAGAGAAACCTCCTCTGAGGGAAAGTCCTTGTGAAATTTCCGATTAAGGAGAAGGAGGTTTCCAAATGGATGCAGCCTATGCAGGGTCTGAGTTTGTCATCCTCTGAGAGCACAAGCCCAAAGCCACCTATGGCAGGTTCACCATGACAAATATCTTCCCCGACTCTCTCTGCCTGGGTCAGTGCTGCAGGCTGAGGCTGCAGGAGGAGATGCCTTCTGCCTTGTCCCTCCCTGCCTGCCTTGCCTGATCCCTGACAAGTAGAATTGTGCCAGACAAAATGCAGTCTCTGATGCATCTGTGTCAGCCAATGCTTTCAAGTTGAAAGCCTCAATGAAAGTCTGTTGTTGTTCCTTTGCCATCTCTGGGCATTTACTGATAGGAGAGATGAGACTTGAAGACATAATTTTGCTGCTGCAGGAAAAGGGATCAGATGTCCTGGTCCCTTTGCTCAGGGTTTGTTCTGCCAAATCCTGGGTACAGCCCCTTTGGAAAGACTCCTTAATTGCTGATATGCAGCTGCAATGCTGAATGCAGTTGGGGAGAATTACTGCTCAGTATTGCTCAGGTGACATTTTTGCTGGATTGATTCTGGCCTAGAAATTACCTATCTCATCAAAGGTTGCCAGATGCTCTTTTGTAAATGACGTCACCATTGTACTGGGATAAAGAAACACAGATTTTACCCGAGTCTTCTATTTATGCTCTACACTCTGCTGTTTGCATTTAGGAAATTCTTAGTGGTTTTTAACTGCCATGATCAGAAATGTTTTATTGCAGGTGATCTTTGTGTTGGTATTTGGTGTCTCTGCAGGAAAGAAAGCAGGGAATAAACCCCAGGGGCAGGGAATCTGAGCAAATTGCAATGTTGGAAAACCAATTTGTTTGCACCACATTTGGGCTCCTTGAACACTGAGGACATGTGAAGGGGAGTACAAATGTTCATTCACTTCTAACATGGGGTACCACTGTTCATGTGCCAGCACTTCCTTTGCTGTGTAGAGAAATAAAAGCAACCAACAAAACCCCACCCTGAACTGAGTGGGAGTTACAGAAACAAGGGCGATGAAAATGAGCTTTGGAAAGCAATGACTTCCTAGGTGTAGTTGTCAAATTCTGGAGACCACTGTGTCTGGCAACTCTTTGGAGGAAGGAAAGAGTTCCCAAAGTAGTGGATGGGCAATGAGCAACACATAAGCAAAGTAGTAGAAGCTGTGTCTCCTGGCTTGCCAGCTCCATACAGTTCAGAGGAATTCTAGTGATGCTAGTTTCATGAAAAATAAAAAACAAAGCGATCTTCGGAATAATTCAAAACCCCCCTGGATGGCTCATGCATTAGATGGATTGATTGTAAAGGTGGGAGTTCACCTAACTCACTTCTTCCCTTTTGAGCATGCCTCAGCCATGAGGTAAGGTGGGAGCTGGGCTGCTCTCTGGCAGGAGGAAGGGTCTTGTGCCAGCCTAGAGAGCCTGTGCTCATCCCCAGGGAACAGTTCTGCCCTGCATGTGCCTCCTGCAATGAGCTGTGCTGCTGCCAGTGCCCCGTGCAGCTGTAGGGCTGCTCAGCTGTGGGGCAGGGACAGGAGCAGGAGGCTGCATGTGCAGCTGAGCCATGGCTGCAAAGCCCAGGGCTCTGGGCTCCCTGCTGTCCCAGGCCAGCCCAGAGGCCAGGCTGTTCCTGTGGGAGCTCTGTGCAAGCGGGACAGGGCTTTTCCTCTGGAGTGCTTCAAGGGTCTTCATGCCTGGAAATGTCAACTTGTGCAGCTATTTAGGAGTTTTCAAGAAGTCTCTCCCACAAAATATGGAGCTTCAGATGCTTTAGACTTGCTTTGCCACCTCATTTACATTTTTTTTTTGTTTCTTCTTTGCAGGGCTGACTAGGTTCATTTTTTCCAAATCTTTCCGGCGATCTCCTTCTATGCTCCTTCCCTCCACTCTGTTTCCTCCCAGCTGGAAAACCTCTCAGTCTTCCAACAGAAGAGAAATGTGCAGCGTTGAGAAGGAGAGTGGGAAAAATGGCAGTGGCTACGATGAAGACACCAGAGAAAGAGAGGAGCTGAAGTCAAAAGGAAAAAGGTGTAAGGTAAGGAGACCAAGCTATGTCCTGTGTGGGAGATTTTCAGTCGATGTGCTGCCGGCAGAGCTTGGTGAGCTGTCCCTGTGAAGTGAGCCCAGGGAAGCAGCTGAGCCAAGGAAGAGCTCAGCTGGACACTGAGCTTCAGGATGTCTTTGCAAAGGGTGTGTGGTGCAGACTTCACATTTTCAGTGTGTAACAATAGCAGGAGAGGACTTTGAAGGGTTTCTGGGTTCTCCCTCAGCACTTCCCTTTGCATTCCCAATCCTGGGCTAGGCTGTTCCATCAGTCTGATTTCTGTTCTCCTGCCAGGTCCCAGTGAAGAACATGGCTAAATGTCTTGAGGCATGTCTTGAGGGGGACAAGACTGGATACTTGATGTGAACACTGTGTTCTACTCT